CTTTGTTACGAATGCGTCAAAGATATTCCAAGATGATGTGTACTGTGAGGTTATAAAGATTGGTGGAGTGGTTCGTAATAAGGATAGATTTGTGCGACGAAGACAACGACTTATTGGCCCTAATGAAAGTACATTAAAAGCTATGGAAGTTTTAACACGATGTCACATCGTTGTGGCTGGTCAGACAGTTGCATGTCTGGGTGATTGGAAAGGAATAAAAAGAGTTCGCAAGATTGTGCTTGATTGCATGAATAATATACACCCTATATATTCTCTTAAAACACTTATGATCGAGAGGGAGCTAGCAAGGAATGAACAAATGAAAAATAAGGACTGGCAACCCTACATACCTCATTTCAAAAAAATTCGATCCCAAACCGATGATGTGAAAGTGAAGAAGAAGAAGTCCTTCGATCATGCCAATGGTTTAAAGGGCGCTGCCAAACGGCTTAGTAAAAAGCTCAAAGATTAACAAGATCTATTTGCGCGCGTTCTAGACTAAATGATACGAAACAGGTGGAGGTACACATCGGTTCTCAACGTGGTCTTTTTTGTAACGAATATATAATCAGACATACTACTTGCAATCTACCGCTTCTGGACTCTGCCTGGCAAACACCTCATTCCGTAACCTGGTGCAGGATCCGAAGCACGAAAGTTGTCTGGGTGATACTGGCTGGCTGACTGGCTGGCTGACTGGCTGGCTGACTGGCTGGCTGACTGGCTGACTGGCTGGCTGACTGGCTGGCTGGTGATGTATTCGTGTCCAGAATTCGTGGAGAGAAACTAAGAATGTGACCAAGTATGGCAAGTTAGTTAGAGTGATTGAGCAGGGTATTTCAAGACCTGATCGCTGTAACATTTTAGTTGTCCAGAGTTGATCAAATCGGATTCCCACGACACCCACCAGCGGCCACTGTAGCGGACTGCCGCTACGAGGTTCCGGCCTGCAGTTTCGGAGGCAGCAGCTTCGGAGGTAGCAGCTTCGGAAGCAGCAGCTTCGGAGGCAGCAGTTTCCGGAGCGTTTTCTGGTGTGAGTTCGTTGCCGCGTTTGTCTTGTTTCGCTTGAAGGGATTGGCGGGTACGTGGTTCAATGAACTCCGCGGGTGTAGCGGTGGGCATTCTGGTGAGGTTTCTGAGGAGCTGTTCTGCGGCTTGAGGACAAGCAGTTCGTCTAAGATATGTCCTGAGAGGTACTTGGCTGAATTTGAAGCATTCAGTAATACCTGGTATTGGTTTGTACTTGGAGTGCGTTTACGCAGAAGTTGACGAGATCGTTGAGAGGTATTTTTGAGTAGCTAAGTAGACATCCGGTAATCCATTGATGCCGCTTGCGAGGATTAGGAATATCGCGTGCGAGTGTGTGCTCTAATGATCGATCGACGTGGCCTTACGGCCAGTCGAAGAACATGGTAATAATCGTGCTTAGCTCTACATACGCTAGGTTACACCTGCCAAAATCATGTAACTTAATACTCTTAAGGGATTCCCATGACTTCGATTCCAACGATCCATACAGTGAAGCAAATGCATCATATTCACTTCGAAATAAACAACATGAACGAGCAAAACTAGTCAAACGACCAAGCGATGGAGCATACAATGGACGTGGAGTATATCTTGATCGTCTCCCTTCAACCGCCAAAGTCCACCCCTCAGTTTCTAATTCAGATGAGTCTCCAGCTAGACCAAATAATCCTCGTACTGTTAATCCATATTGACCAGCCCACCACCCACGTAACTCTTCGTACTTAGAACGATCCAACATGGTGTTTGCGCCTGTGCAAACGGTGTGTTGCGTTTTTGAAATATCGTGTGTGTGTGTGCACGATTTTCCCCGCAAATACTTGTGTTTAAGGCAGGTTATTTGTTTATCCGTTCTGGGGGTTTGGAGAATAAAAAATTACCCTTTGTTGGAGTCGGATAAAGAACCATGTCGCGGGAAGAAACGGTCACCATTGATTATTGGAAGGAGCCTGAATTCAATGAGGATGACGTGAAAGGTCCGTTTTTCGAAGAGTCTTCGTTTCAAGTTGTTTTCCCTGAGACCCGAGCTAAATATATCCAGCAGGTATTTTTCCCTTTCCCTCCCCTCTTCCCTCCCCTCTTCCCGCTCTGGTCGGGTTTCATGAAGTGTTTCCTTTAATGTAGACATGGGACACTATCAGTGCAAAGTTGAGTGAGTTCCGGTTGAAGGGTGATTTGGACTTGGTTGAGAAGACGATGACTGTGAGTACGAC